CCAGATATTCACATGTAAACGTGAGCAGACATGACATTCCAAAGTTACACACTAAGGTTATAACAGTTAAACTGACCTTTTACAGTTTTGCTCAGCTCTAATTGGTTGATGAAGCTCTGATCAGAGGTGGTCTCAAAAACATGTTTGCTGTAACTTTACTTTCTCTCCAGCTGCTCTGGTGGTCATGTAACTCAGAAAAATATTGAACAATGTTTCTTGCCTGTAAACATAATTAGTAGAGATACATCTAAATTTGTTCAGAATCCAACTCTAGAAATGTATATCCTCTCTACTATAAATATTATATATTTAATGAACCATCTTAGAAGCACTTTTCAAATTTCTTTGGTGACAATCTTTGGTTAAAAGTAGTGTATTTCTGAACTTTCAAGTGCACATAATACAGAATTGTGATTGTGTGCTATTAAAACAGACCACTCACTTCTAGCCACTAATGAAAATAAGATTTATCAGGGATTTTCAGTGGAATTTTTATACAGCTTGTGCAATAATATATAGTATGAAAAAAATGCCTTTTTTTCCAATTAGTGTCAGAAACTCCTTTTTTTTGCGGATGCTGATATGAAAACCAGTAAAAAAATATTGCAGGTATTAACAATTAGCTCTAAAAGGATTTAAAGGCAAAATATACTAATACTTAAACAACGAATACTCATGGCTGGTATTGCATATATTACCTGACATATTTTGTGACTGGTACAATCCAAATTTCTCATTCCCTACTGCTCTTAAGTATTTTCCAAGTCTCTCATTCTTAGATGTTCTGCAGCTGACATTTCTTACACACACTGTTCAACAGCACATAAATGTGCCATCTACTGGCAAATGAATGCAACTAGAGCATTTTGTTATAGAGAAGGTGGAATCACGATTCATTTTAGTTTATAGGTTTTTGTAGTAGTTTGGAACATAAAAAAATTTCAAGAGAAGTCAGAGTTGAGTTCAGTTGGTCAATAAGTAGTTGCAGAATTAAGACCAGTTTAATAGCTTCAGATATAATACTAGAAATGCCCTAAAGCATAGCTTTGGAGTCTGCAAATCCCAAGTAAAAAAAGCATATATGTTGATATTTCAAGTTTCCTTCTGTGGCTTTAAAAAGGACCAACTAATTTATGAGACTTTAGGAAGTTATTTTTCCCCCAGCATTCACTACAATACTTCTCTTAGCAGGAAACGTACCTTGCAGCTGACCCAGTCGTGTTATGACATTCTCTTCCAGAATGAATGAGCTTTGGCCATGGGAAGCAGCCCCCTGATGTGGATGTCCTCTTGGAGCCAAGTCCCTGGGTTATGTTCTAAACCACAGAGCAGATACTTCTGGGGAAGGAGAGCCACACTCCTGACACGAGCTAACCTGCCAACATTAGCAAACTATATCACTATGTTATACACATAATATCACGTAGCCCTTAGAATGACTCTGCCACCATCATCTTGTTTCTGGTACAACATATTTTTTCTAAGGCTACCTACACAGCTCCTTTCTTAGTTTTCCCCACGGGCAAGTAAGCTTGCCCAATGCGTATTTCCCGGTATGTATGGTAAAAGAATAAAGGGAAATAAAGATAATGTATTTACTGGGACACACTTTTTTTTTTTTTTTTTTTTTAAGGTGGCAGTTGGAAGAGAGGTTATTTTATAAACTCTGGGTATTTATGAAATGACAAAATATTGTTTGCTTAAACTCAATTAACATACCTGTGAGATAGGAGAATTACAGTGGTTTATTCATCCAAAGTGTTACCTATCATTATCGGAGTCTTGGCACCTAGATCTCCACTTTACGTAAACATCAAGTAGAAAGATGATGGTAAAGATGGAAGAAATTGAAAGGACATCCCAGTCAAGCATTCATTTTGCTGAACTGACTATTACTAAGATAACTATTTATACATTCAAAGTAGCAATAATTCCAGTAGAAGAGAGTTCTTGTGATATTTCTGTGTAGACCAAACCACTGATATGCCACTAAGTGTAAATGAGGTGTTGGATTTATTTATTTTTTATTTATTTACTTATTTAATCAAATTATCTTAATAGTGGAATAAATTCGGGAAGTTAAACAAGCCTTTCCAGTGCTCCAGTTTTCTCTTCATTGCCCTAATCACCAGTATTTCCTCCTGTAACTGACTGGACACACTCAGAACGTACCACACTGCATGGTAGGCTGCTGAGACCGTGATCCATTTGAGTCAATATATCTACAGCTGTGTCCTCTCCAATTTTCCACAGCTTCTAGGAAGCAAAGGCAAAGGACAAAGCCTCCGACCTCTACTTCCCAGCAAAGGAAAATATCTGTTACGGGGCTTGGGTATGTATTGGAACAGATCACTGACTTCCATACTCAAAGTCCTTCCAACTAGAACAACCTTTTAATCCTAAAGAACTTTTGTGCTGCAACTGTGTCCACACCTTGGGCAAAGTGTTTTCTTGATCTTGTCCTTAGCAAAGATGCCTCATCCTCAGATAAGCTGTTTCTCAACAGAAAGAGCAGAATTTGCAATTAGATACAACATAGCTACTGTGTAATCTATCAAAATCCAAATCTTGTAAACTTGAGCACTAGTAAGGAATGTGCAAGTTTGTCACTGGGTCTTTCTTACATGTTTCACTAACCATGAGCTAATGCAAATGAACACCACAAATATGCTGCTTTTAAAATGTAAAGCAACAAGCCATGTAAACACAATTTTTAGAAATACATTTTTGCAAAAAACATTTGTATTTGACCCTCTGAGGGAGGGAACAGGACAACCAGACTGTAAGGATTCTAAAGGAAGTTTTACAGGCTTTGAAATAGGCTATTAGGAACTCATCCCAATGATTTAATGGAAACCTCAAGCTGTTGTTATCTCACTGAAGTAGGAACTTTTTGTAGTAGTGAATTACAAGAATAAACTACATTTCCAATATATGCAAGTTTCTTTCAGGCAGACATCCCTTTTTGTAGTATTAAAAAAACCAAAAAAACAAAAAACCCCACAAACCAAACCCCAACAACAGAAGGTCAAAATGCAACTGCATTTCAGACTTAATTCAAACTTTTATTCATCATCAAATTCAAAAGTTAGGAAGGGAAGCTATCTTGATATCCTATCTTGCTGTGAGATACCCACCTTATCCTCCTAAATACCCCAACACTTATATGACAAATATTTACTATCTATAACACAGGTAAAACATCCTTGTGGAGCTCTAACCCTTTTTACTGGAAGTGATCACTGCCCAGCCTGACATTAGATGCTCATATTTTTACCCCTTCTGTCAGAGGCCTCGAATTAATTGATTCCTCAAGCTGCCAATTAAAGACATTTTCTAAATGTTTGCAGCAAGATTCACAATTGTAAAACTAGGGTGGTCAGACCCCAGCTAGAGAGTGGAATTGACTTTTTACGAGTTTCTTATGGAACAGTTCTCAAAATTCTTATCTGGGATAAGTCCTCCTTACACGTGGCAAATTAGAACAACAACAGATTTGAGTGACACCTTCAAATCTGCTGCTTGACATGCTGTGTTTGTTTGTATGGGAGCTGTAGTCATAGCAGAAGACATTTTTTTTGCAGTTTCTTACCTCAGCTTTAGAAAAAGTACAAAGGTCTTTAAAACGTAGTATGGCTTTGTACTACGAAACCAAGAACACAAAACCACAGTCAGTAGGTGTACAGCAGCAGAAGCAAAGAGGCCGAAGCTCCGCTCAGAAAGCAGGAGGAGGAGCAGCTGCATTACAGGGAGCAGGTACCAGAGCCTCTCTGAACACCACTTGCAGAAAAAGCCTCAAGACAGACAATGCCAAGACCATGAACAGTCTTTACTTCTATCAGTTGTTTCACAGCACAATGAGACACAGCACAAAGTTTGTACAGCGGGATCTGCAGACAGTTTAGAAACAGGCAATTATCTTTAATAAAAAGCATTGAGTCTGAATGTGAAAATATGAAGACAAACAATATTGCAGCTAACAATCACCTTGCTTGCCTTGGAGTGTCTAAGAAGTCCAATTCACTGACTTCTCATAGTGGCTTTAATGTTCTCCACACCATCTTCTCCAAACACCCTAGTTCATGTAAAGCTTAATGGGTCCTGACTAGTATGTGCAGTATGTTTCATAACCTTGTCCTCTTGCTTTCAAACCCTGTTTGCAGTGTGTGGGGAGATGCAACGACTCTCATCATACAACATTCTGATTCACAAAGAAGCAGCACAAGTGTTATACATAATTTAATTTGCACTTCTGTATATAAATGTTTACTATATTGCACACTATTGCAGCACTTAAAAACATCTAATTATTTGCAAAAATTAGTAAAATACTTTAAAGGATTTAAAAATAAGGGTTTTAATGCAACCGACAAGATAATAAAAAAGCAATTTACTTAATGAGATACAATCCTTTATGTTGGAAATGAAAGTTACATACAACTAGAGTACAATTAAAATATGCCATATAGTTCAACACTTAATTCCTCAAATGTGTAAAATTAACAAGCTTCTACTGTCATAGATATACAATTTTTCCATATTGTGAAAAGGATTTTTCAAATTAAATACAGGTAACATAATATTCTGTAGTTATATTTTATGACTGTGTTTAAATGAGAGGGTTGTATAATACTCACATTGTCAAATGTACTCACTAATGCCTTGGAAATTGCACACTTCCCCTCCTTTTCCAAAATAGAATCTCATTTCCATACTGAAGTCTATTATGCCATATTGGAAAAGTATTTTACTTTCTAACAGGATTTTCATAAAATTAAAAAATAGCATAATATCATGGCATTAAGATGACTTTTCCACTTATGCCCACGTAGAATTTAATCTGGATATCAGACAGACATGTCAGAACCAATTTCCTAGATTTTTGTCTTATTGTACACGCAAGATGAATGATTACAGTATTTTACAAAACAGGAAAATCTCTGAACCTTACTAGAATTATAAATGTAATGATTAAAAATTAAAATCATAACAGAATCAAATTGTGATCTCCAACATTTATTAAAATCTTTTCAAGTTCATAAACGACAACAAAGTTACTGTAGAATTTATCGCATACAGCTAGCATACAGCAGCATGTCCTTGGTCTAAATGAAATACAAAAGATTTTAACATTTTCATACAAAGGATTTCTTTAAATTTATTAATGTGACGATATATCTTTGTTACATAAAATTTGCTACAGCAAAGTATCTTATACTTTTCTTGCACATATGTAAATATGGGTGGACAAAGACTGCATTCAGTGTCAGCCTCCTAATGACGTTGTGCAAAAATGCTCAACAACCTAAACATACAGAATGTTAGATGGTACGTTTCATACTCTTTTGTAAAATGTCTACAAAGGCTTTTCTTAAAGGAGTGTCATACAGATTAAAAGGAAGGAATGCCAGTGGTTTATTTGCACTGACATTCAAACAAATACAATGGCTATGTATCAATATAGCTCATTTCTTTTAAAAACAATTCATCCTTGTATGCATGTAAATTTATCATAAAATATGAGTCTAGTTTAAATGGTTTAGATGTCCTGTTTTAAGACAGGTCACTGAGACAGCCAGAATCAAGTGTACAAATAAAACTACTATGAATAAGTTTAAAAGCAACCCCCAAAAAAGTGCTGAGCCACTGATTATTAACATTGAAATAAATGTGTAAAAGTGCCCAAAGCTAGCACATGGTAGCAATATCTTTTAAGTCAGTTGGTGAGAGTATACAAAACATAATTAAGCCCAAATACTTATATCTGTGTGACCATACATTCTGTTTGATTGAAAGAAAGTAGGTTAGAAATGAAGACACAATGCAACTAAAATAAACCCAGCTGTTGCAGTTTTTAAACTTTGTCTCTTTTCTTTGTGAGTGAAGTGCTGTAATTAAAAAGAAAATGATTGTAGCAGTACTCCATCCTCAGTTTACTAATATAGTATACCAGAATAAAAACTTGGCAATAACCTCTTATTCTTAACAGCTAACAAAAAAATAACCGTGTTCATCCAGCGATGCATCTAGAACATTATTTTGCATTTGCTAAACCATTTATTTGTTTTTCATAGCTAATGGCAGAGCGCATTTTGCTTTTTGTGGTGTGGTGGTTTTCATTTTAATAGATGCCTTTTTTCTTCAAAAAAAGGCTCAAATCAAGGAATATTTTGGGAGCCCAAACATTGGCTTTTTTTTTTTTTTTTAAATAAGAAAAAAAAAAGGTGAATCAAAATTTATTATATTCTCTACAATACTGACCAAAACTTCCTTTAAAAGTTTAGGGTTCATGTTCTTAAAAAAAGCCATTTCACACCTGCCCAACTGGCTGGTAAGTCGACTTGGTTAAATATGGTCCAAAATCCAGACCAGGTAGAATTACTCCCTCTCACAAGACTGTAAGCTTTCCATGGTACAGTCTGGTTATGGCAATTTACCTACTGCCGAGGTGGGAAATACAAAGGAAGGAGGCAGTGACGAAAACTGCAGGGATGTAGAAAACCAAGGCACGGGGTCTAGCTACTGTCCCCTACTTAAGCCATCCAATTGATTCTACTGAATTTTGGTCAGTCTCCAGGAAGAAATGTTAAGTTAATTTAGCAGACATTTATATGGCGATAAATACTACCTTCAAAAATGCTAAAAATGTTGGCTAGGTTTAGTCTGAGCTACTAAAAAATTATTATAAATTGTAGCCTCAGACACAAGACAGACAAGAATTATTGGCTGGCACAGACTAGAAGCAACATTTATCTTTCACTTCAGTCTAAATCACACTAGCCGCAACACCTTCCATTTCACTCACACAAATAATACATTATTCAAAATAAAATGGAGCATTCTTGGGTAAAAAACTACTTCATTTTAAAGGGGGAAAATGAACAATACACAGAAACAAAGAACGACAGAAACCAAAGTTAAGTAGGAAAGTGGTCTATTATTCTGTGTTACTGCACAAACAGTGCTTGCTTAATTGTGCCTAGTTAGAAGGGTTGGTGCAAACTGCACACATGGAAGATGGCAATAAAGACCTCAGTCAGCTTTGTGGAATGAAGTAACTAGGTAACTGTTTTGACATATGATGGTCTCAGCTCCACCTCATCTGTTAACAGAGTGCAAAGATCCCAATGTGAGCCCTGATGTCATCTTGTCCTCTTACTCCTACTAAAAATCAGCAAATTCTTTTGCACATTTTTCTGTTAGAGACGCACGAATATCTTCTTCTTCATAGTCATCAAAGTTGCTGGTATCTCCAGGGCCTCTGCACTTTGGTATGAACGGAGCTTCTACCTGTGTTTGGGGGTAGGGGAAGGGGGAGGAAAAGCACGCAAAATGTTATTGGCCTAATATCCTTAGATTTAACATTGTGATAATGAGCACAATAATATTCCCATTACTCCTCAAATCCTGCCAAAAAAACAGATATTACTGCTTGAAGTCACAGCACATAAATAAAACCAGCCTAAGAAGGTGCCGTCCTAGATGTTCTGAATGTAAGTTGAAAAAACCTAATATCTCACTGCCAAACATCCATAAAGATGGGATACCCTGCTCTCTTCAGCTTATCAGTTGCATGGTGAGGCTTCCAGCATGGCAAGGGCTGCACCTAACAGTTGCACAGTCATGGCAGAAGCAGAGTAGATTGATTGCCATCTCCACTCAAAAATCTTTGGAGAGTTTGGAACCTCTCTCCTTCCACTTACCAACAATCCTCTATTTCCAAATAAAAACTAACCCAATACAAGTTTAAAACAATTTGTTGTGCATCTCCTACAAAGTTCCTCCTAGGACCTAACTGTAAGTGGAAGTGAAAGCCTTCTCAAAATTAGACCACAACTGAGACACAAGCAAAGAGTTGAAGGGGTCACTAAAGGGCTGTACAGAATGCCAAAACAGCTCTAATTAATGATGGAAAAACCCCTTCTGGTAAAGACTGCCTGCACATCCTCTCAGATCCATATATATACTCAATTAGCCTTTAGATTCAGTGCATCTCATGTCAACTGTATGGTAGCAAGCCATTCATGCTCAGGTATTGGAACCAGTTCTTTTCCAGGACCCTCTTAACTGCTGCTTCTTGAAGTTGAGGGAACCCACAGCATTTTGAAGTTGGCCTTACTATAAAATCCTTGGGTCTGGCTAAAACTTAACAGTCTCAATCTTGCTGTCCCTAATTTTAGCCTCTACTCGTCTTGGAAGTTAAACTAAAGATGACATTAAATGAAGTTATGGGTTTGCATAGGGACATACCTGCATATTTACTGGCTAACAGCTTATGCTGTCCCTATACAGTTTAGGGAAAAAAAATAGTTCTTGCCAACTTGCAGACACTGAAATGCTATTTTTGGGATCAGACTACTAAATTCTAACTTTACTCAGCTAATACTAATTCAAATCTTAATCCTTCTAGTCTATGACATCTCAAAGTTCAAAATTAAGCTTAATTGCTTTTTAAAATAACCGAAATTTTAGAATCAACTGCATGCTTGAAGAAGGAAGAGGCGGTGTTTGGGGTTGATGGGAGGCAATAATGAAGAATGAATGGTAAGGAAGGGATCAGAGGATGGAAGACCAGGGAGGAGAGATGCTCTACTGCAAGAGGTCTCTGACAAACTGGAGTGTGAGGCATAATTATCAGTACCACATTCCTCATTTTCATTTGACAGGTGCCTGATTTATCTACTTTTATGGTAAGCAAAATGACAGCAAAATTACTGAGGTGATACAAATTTAAATCCGGAAATGCAAAGTAATCAGACAAATGTGTGTCTCTGGGACATCCCAAGGAGTATGTGTGCCAGAGGCAGCACTGTGGGGAGACAGCTAAGCAAGGCAGGCATGGCTCCAGGTGAGGCAGGGGATCAGATCACACTGTGCAGCCATGGAGCTGCTCAGTGCCCCATGTAGATTCCTGATGGCGCGGGGTGTGTGGGTGGAAATCAGTAAATTAAAGAGGTACAGCACAGACTAAATACAAATTAAACTCTGCTGACTTTGGGCGATAACACTACACCCCCCAAGAAATAACACTAACTTTCTGCATTTATAGACTGTGCTACAATTGTCCCATGTGTATCCTTTTGTTTCTAAAACAATATACGTGTTTAAGTGATTTATCCCAAGGGGATACACAGTCTGTGTACATACCTAGCCTACAAAGTCACATATTTACCATTATCTCAATTCTGTCTCGGTGCCTTGTCAAATTGATTTTCAATTACTCTCTTACAACAAAGCTCAGAGCACAAGAAATATCTTATTTACTGCTGGAATTTTAGAACACATTCAAATGAGATGCCTCAGACTTTTTCCTATTATCTTCACCAAGGAAATCGCTAAAAAGAGATTGCAGGAGTTAACACTGGTTTGTAGTAGAGATACCTCTTTAGCCCTAAGTACAACCATATTATCAGGCAGTATTTTAGTAAACAGCTATGCAAATACACAAAGAAAATAAGACTTGATCTTATCTGAAATATTAAGTAATTGACTGGTTCACTTATGACTGTAGCATAACAAATTATTCACATTATATTAGCTGCCAAGGAACACTACGTTTATTGAGGAAAATACATGCTGCCACTGTGAAAAGCTGCTATAAACCCAAAGTTTATTGCTGTATTTCTATGACTGCCTAAATGACATTACAATCCATGCTGTTGTTTCAGACCCACCCTTAGTATTACAGTATTTATTCCTTACAATTAGAAGCTTAAAACTTACTCAGCAACAGTTTTCACAATCCCTTAAAACCAGTAATAGCTATTCTGACTGTACTACTAGTTCACATTTAAAAATATGTCTTGTTTCTGTGAAAGTAATTCTCTACAGCGGTGCACTAGCAATACTAAGAATATTTAGCACAGTATTAAAACATGTGATTTAATATTATGTGGCCTGGGTGTCCCCAGACAGCATATCGGCGAATGAAACTCAGTACATATAAATCTGCCTTGTAAACAGGCATTAAGAAAGCAAAGAACAGATAATTACAATTCTGCAGTGGGGAATCTTTTCTTAAAAACATCTACACTTAATTCAAAGAACACAGGATGTGTTAATTATAACCTGTCTTCTAGTAATTAATACATTAGCGAATACTAAAACAACTGCACTGTCAGTTTGTGTAGCCAAACAACCAGTTTCTTTTTATAAACTATTGTTAGTATTTAGCCTTGGCCTTTACAATACTGCTGTTATAGCAGCAAGTTCATGCCTCTATAGTGAGGTCTATTGTCATTGCAACAATGTAAACCAATTCCTTCAAACATTATGGCTTAACTCTAACCTTTTTACCAATATATAGACACAAAATTATTTCTCCACCCAAGTCTCCTGGGACACCACCAATTAAGTTACTTTAGTCTTCTTTTTTTTTTTTTTTTTTTTTTTTTTTTTTTCTGTCTATTGAAAAACCAAGAATTCAGAGGTTGCATTTAAGAGAACAAAAAATTTCTTAGGAATCTCTTTCTAGTAACTCACTAATCTACAGATATTTAACGTTGGCTCTACATTCAAGGGGAGAGGGAGCTTTAGAGCTACTGGAAGGCAGACCTAGACTGAATTGTCATCATCCTCATCCCTTTCCCCAGCTTCCTCTCCCAGTTCTGCTTCATTCATCATGGCGGCTACTAATGTGCTCCCCTGAAATTGATATGTTAACGGCTGCTCATGTTCTGAAAATATTCCCAGTTGTCTCTGTTGCTTGTTTTCTAATGCAAGTCAGAAGTTCATAGTGCAGACTGGGCATGGACTTTCTAAAAACCACAGTACAAGTCATGCTGGTCAGGCAGGTCTAGAAAACCATTCTAAAAATGCCAGAAAAAAGCATTCAGCAGGGCTCTTCTCATTGCCGCAGCTTATGGAACCACTGTCAATTAAAACATAGTGTCAAAAGACAAAAACCCCTCAGCAGATACAGAGGACTGAGTAGACACTCTCTACATCTGATCCTGTCACAGATAAAGCAAGAGCAAGAAGGAGGTAGCATACTTGTTTAGCAGAAAAAGAAAAGCTCTAGCTTTGGATAGAGCTTCTCCACACTGAAGGATGGTCTGACTGCTAAGAACTAGCTGGAAAGAAAAACAGATTCCTCTGTGCTGTGGAGGAGTATTTATAGATGCCACTACAGCAGGGGTTAAATAAAAAGCAAGAGAGGCAGGAGATGGCTCATTCTGAGATATTCCAGAAATAGACTAAAGCATAACACTGGTTAAGAGAACATGAATGTACAGAGGTCCAGGATAAAATACCAATATGAAACAAACATAATTCAATCAATACCTACTCTTCAGAGTCTTAAAGTACTTTCACCTTTTCTCAGTTTAAAAATGACAGATTTAAGAAAGAAAAAATAAAAAAAAATAATTAGGAATTTTACTTCAACCGCTTTAAGACCTGTAATAGTTTTGATCAGGAAGGGTCTTACCTTTCTCTGATAAATGGCAATCCAATCTGTAGTTGCAAACCACTTGTGATTCTTTATGTCATTTACACCATTCTTGAGATTTCCATATCGTTTGGTCAAATCTACCTGGAGTAAATTTCTTAGAAGATCCTTTAGGTCTGAACTGAAGTGTGATGGGAACCTTACCTAAAATTATACATCCACAACATTAAAAAAAACAATATACAAATTTGATTGATCCTCCTGTGAAGTAAAACAATATTCACATGAAAGGAAATATGGGAGCCATTTTTTATTCTTCCTCTAAAAACAAATCAAGTAGGAATGCATGAAAAGAGAGATGATGTTGCACATGTACTTCTGTTTCACAGAGCTTTTATCAATAGCATTACCGTGTTGATCTAGCATTTTTTGCACTGAGATTTTCTAGATCTGACTGAGTTTGGGAAAAACATTTATTTAATGTAATAATGACATAAAAGATAAATTTAACTTGGTGTCTTGCCAACATAACATAATCTCAAGGCATTCTCAACTATTTTCTAGGAACAGATTTTTAGATTGTATTATATATATACACACACAGAGGAGATATAGTATAGTATAGCATATATACAACATATACAGATAAGCTCTGAAATAACTGAACTTTCAACAGTCATATATGAAAATTCAATCTGGAACTTTATGCTGTAATCCATATTTGATAACTAAATACACCAACACCAAAAGACTTTACATAACCAATACAGAACTATTTGAAGATAGCACAAGTGACTTGCCAATACAATTCAAACCTGGCTAAGAAATATTTGAAGATGATTCATGGGATGTAGTTACATAGGGTTTTACTAGTAAAAGATCTACTGACACCATCTGAGATAGCAGAAAGAAGAAAGGGGAAAAGAACAGGCATAAAGTTGTATTTGTCATGCCCATAGTCTCAGAGTTCGACACTCCCTATATTCAGCTGATCATTTATGACATAAACACAGAACATGGAATTAGTTAACACAAAAACACTTTGTGAAGTCAAGAATGACAATGAAAGACACTGCTTCAGTTTACCTGTCAATATGGCTCTATTTTAGTACATGAGAAATTCATGGGTTTTAATGAATATAATGCTTAGACAGCTTAGAAGTAAGGAAATATTAACTCAGTTTTTTAAGTAGATAACTAAGCGCATGAGGTAGACCAAATGAAAGACTTAAGGTTATAAAGGAAACATACTGCTAGCTGAGAACTTAACATTAGAGTTTCCAGGGTTCAAGTCCAGTGCTGTTTCTGCAATTATCCATGAACTCAGTGAAAAAAGTAGATGACCAACAGTACAAATGTCGAGCAAATTAGATACAACTGCAAAAAATGCCCATGTTTTTTTTAGTTTAGAAGATAAACATTCCTTTAAAAATGGATCTTTGGAAATGAATTCCCATATATTCATGGAGACAGCTGACAGGTCACAGTATTACAGCCTTTCAAAGTGCAATCACCTCCCTGATTTAAACAAGGCCCTAAACAGGAATCAATCTCACTGCAGTGTACCACAGGGCCTACTGAGGCCTTTCTCTTGATTAGAATTACAGAAGTACGTAAAATGTGGCTCAGCATGTGTTTATGCAGGGAGAAGGAAGAGAGGAACCGTAACAAATAAACTGAGCACAAAGAAGCACAAAGAGACAACACTGGCTGGCAGGAGAAACAACACAATGATCACATTTTTGTGCTATCTGGCACACTATGAGATATTCATGAAAAATAAAAGGGAACAGTTGGAAACACTTTTTTAAAATTTTATGTAACAATGAAAGCTGAACAGAACATTAGCCATGTCTTGAACTACAGGTCTGTTGAAGTAAAGAAACCTACTATGAAATATGGAAGCTCTTTACAACTTCTCAAAAGCTGCAAAAATATTTCTAGAAAAGAAAATAGCTAGGCATATTAAGCATACAGCTAAATAGTTGTTAATAGTCATTGGATCATTTTTATCCAAGCATAAAAGGATATAATACCACAGTGTCTGTAAATTTAATAGCCTGCATTTTAAATTAGAAGGCAGGGAACAGATTTTTGGAACTTTGATTTTTAATATTATTATAACAGTGTCTGTACTTAAGAAGTATGCATTACAAGCTTTTGCCATATTCTTTCCAAATAGCTCACTGTCTAGAAGCCAGTAAATTCTGCATCTAGTTCACATGAAAAAGAGGTTCTGCAAAGACAAATAACTGCATTTGCAAAAATACACAGAGCCCTCACCTTGCCAGACACAATCTTCTCATAAATTTGAATGGGCTGATCTGCAAAGAATGGGGGATATCCAGCTGCCATTTCATAGATTAACACTCCTAATGCCCACCAATCCACTGCCTTGTTGTAACCCTGGATAAAATGAGAAATACCACTGTTAGTACCATTTCTAACACAGTTTAAGATTTTCAGTATGTATTCATGGAATACAAAGAAAGCAAATGCATTATTCCTTGTTTGATACAGAACTTACAGCCTAATTCAAAGCAAACCAAAGCTCACAGATTCCAACGGCAATATACTTAAAACCTACCACAGCGATGAAACATTTTGCACACATTCCTGTGCTGAGTTTCAGTGATGTCTTTACACTGATGTGAAAAGACTCCCTAAGTGACAGAAATGGGCACAATTTATTTACTTATTTAAAATCAAAATAAACTTGTTACAGAATGATTGAAACCTGTTTCAAAGCTTAGAGAAATTTCATTAAATAAAGCAATAATTCCTATATTGTATACCATCCTCTTTTAGCTTGAACACCCCAATTTCAGAACATTCACTTTCATATTTAGTAAACTAGCTAAAAGGTTTAGTTAGTTAGCTGTTATAAGTTATGATCTGATCTTTAAAGCCTGAACATAAAATCATTAGTAAAACCTATTAAATATTAAAAATGACAGAAAACCCCACCAGCCCCATCAATTTTGTATGTGTTCTCTGAGATCTTTTACAAACCTCAGGGCTAAGACTCAGTCTTTCCTGAAAAATCTACTATGGAGAATTTGTAGTAGATGTGTTGCAATTTCTTCTGCTGCTTTAGCTGCACAAGGGCAAAAAAAGCTTTAAATAACAAGCATTTTCTCCCCAAATAAAAGTATTTTTGGTTTACTTCCAAAGACCTGTAAAGGTTATTTAATTAAACCACATATCAAATGCATAGTTTAACATCATGCATTATGATTGTTTATCTCAAACAGATCCATAAACTGTAAGGATATTTTGCCTTTGCAAAACATAAAGAGCTACAGTTGAACAGCTATATGATAAACAATATTTCTGCTATGTTCAAACAGTGCAAGTACTAGACACAATTGGATCAAGAGTAAGCTTAGACTGCATGTATTTTATGTGTAAAACCAGTGGTTTGTCATGTTTGATTTCATGTAAAGTGCTTTAAACCTGAAACATTGTAACTAATTATTTAATGACTACTGATTCATCTACTATGTGTTTCTTGTTACCTCTGGAGCTCCCCTTCTAATCTATTACCATATTAGGATGTAATCACTCAGCTATGCTGTTCTGATAAGGATGCCAGTTAAATAACCTAATTACAGATTGTTTAAAACCCTTTTCCCCCTCAAGTTACATGGCAAGCATATGCAGAAAGTTCTGTACAGTTACGTGAAAATCCCTGCTTTGGAATAAGTTTTAGTACACTAAAAAAAATACTTACAATGCACTGATTGCATTGTGTAATTCATGAAGAGCTGACTAGACAAGATTTGATTTTTGGAAGTATCAGCAATTGCTTATCTCCCACAGTTTAATAATTGGGTGATAAAATAACAAGACAAAGTACCTTGCTGAGAATTATTTCAGGTGCCAGGTATTCTGGAGTCCCACATAACGTCCAAGTTCTTCCTTTTACTCTTTTTGCAAAACCAAAGTCCGTGACCTGTCATCAGAATAAATAAATTGACTGTAAGTGCATTTCTACAAGGAATTTTAAAATTAAGTACTTTTGAAATATTTTGGAAAGCTACTATACAGAGGAAAAATTTATTTCTCAAATCACATAGTGTCATATAGTCAGATGTACCTTTAGTAGCCAGTTCTTCTGATACTTCTAATTCAGATAAATAGAAAGTTTCTCATGATAAAATTAATAAACAACACAAAATACCTATTTTCCCCCGACACAAGCTTCTATTTATAATTTTAAAATTGAAAAAATCAGTGGGAACTATGGCTTACTAATCTTCCACATGTACTTCAATTACATTAATCATTTCTCTTATACTTTTCACATCAGACTGTTTATACTGCTGAAAGTTTATAAAACATGAATACCAACAAGATATTTATCTTTTCCTTTAGTTAACAAATAAATGAATCACAAAAAGGGTCAAGATATCTACCAGTCTTGTAAATTTAGAATTTTATTGCCTAAGTGTATAAATGTTATATGTAAAATTAGTGTGGGAATAAGACAACATAAAAGAGGTCTTTCCAGTAACTTCTGAGTATATTTGAAAGCATCAACAGAGCCAAGCTTGTTTATTTGAGGAAACACAGCAGTAACTGTATTCACAAATGGCAAGTTCTTGGCCATTAAAAATTCTTCATTCCACTTGTCGTGTTTTCTGCATTAAGTTTTCAGAACTCTGTATGCAATATCATCCTCTCTGTGATTTTTCCTGGACTGCATGGAGGAATACATACAGAAGCCAGGGAGCTACATGTATAATTCTGGGATCAGTTTCAAGATATCAAGTCTACATTTGTTTGGGGATTTGTTTCTTTTGTCTCCTCCTTCTTGGTATCATTTTCAACCCACTCCCAGAGAAAGCATACTGTACCACAATGATAAGAACTGGTAATTATACAATAACTTGTGCAAATGTTTCTGATACACTAGTATCACAAACAAACAAGCCAAACTCCAAACTATCAAGGCAGCTTTTGCTTCATTTTTGGTAGAAACAGCAGCAATCACAGCTAGAACTGAACAGAGAAGGTAATGTGCTGACTAGACGGACCTGCTTCAGTCAACAAAGAATCATTTCTGTGTTTGTGAATGCACATCAGTCTATGTAAGATTACACTGCAGGTACAGGACAAATGGTAACGGCTTTAAAATTCAAAAAGAAAATGAATGGAGTTTCTAAACAAAATTTAGTTGGAGCTGCAGTATCAACATATGAACACAAATCCCACTCTGTTCAGAAACAGAAGCAAACCAACCGCACATGGGAGGTGTAACTGCTGGATCCACTATCATTTGCAGTTTGCCCACTACAACAAAAACATACTATTGCATATAGAGGGTCGCCAGTCTGGAGTAAGCTGCTCATACCTTTACATTAATGGTGCTCCCCAACCACATTAACAGAACTTGTATTTCTCTTCTCCCTACAGCGTTATTTTATTCTCCATGTAAAATTATTTTACAGTTATAAACAACATAAGATACGAACCCTTCTCACTTCTCTCAAACATTTTTATTCCCTAATTTTCTGTTAGATTCTGCTACGGCAAAAGGTGACACAATGAGGAAAGAAAAGCTTCTATAGTTTAAGGGCTGCAAAGCACTGTAGAGTGCTTGTTGCTCTATAGCACAAGCCTTCCCATTTGCCATTTAGATCAAAAACATTAGAGCTAAAAGGAAAATGAGGAGGTGCTGTGAGAGGCTGCTGTAAAACCGAAGTCATCATTTGCAGCACTGCAGTTCTGGTGTGATCTCAACTCGGCTCTTACTCCAGATGTGCTGAAAAGATTAGGACTCTCCAAGGGTGGGATTCATCTGGCTGAAATTAAGTACTATAGTGTCAGTGTTGACATCTAAGCTGGTTATCCTAAACTACTTATATAGGCAATACAGAGAACCAGACGTTCTAGGGCACCTTTCATCTTGTTCTAGAGTAGACGTATAAAATAGGTCAGATGAACAGAGCCACGTAATCACCCACTTCTCACCACAGACCCCAAGGGAAACCTTGACAGCTTGGTCAACTGCAGACAGCTCCATTCTGCATACTTAATTTTAGTCAGAGGAAGTACAATCCAATGGTTTTAACCATTACTAAGCAGTAGCACATTTTAATGCTCCTGGAATACATGCTGACATGCCAACCAGCTTCAGACCATTTATTCTAAACGCATCTGCTACAATTATCTAACCCTACACTATAAGACAAAGAGTCCACTCCCTAAATATACGAAGAATATCATACCTGGATGTATCCTTGCTGATCAATTAAAAGATTTTCGGGCTTTAGATCTCTGTAGATGAGGTCTAATGAATGGAGGTACTCAAATGTTAGCACTATCTGAGCTGCATAAAACCGTGCATGTGGTTCACTGTGAAGAATTAAAAGAATATTAAGTACCCCAATGCTATGCTAAGATACTGAAACAACTATGTAACTGCCAGGGATAGGCAAATTAAGTATCTTTTAACTGGTTCTTCTACTGTATAACAAGGAAAAAAAAAAAAGACAAGCAGCAAACATCTTAGAATTGCTACACTAATGCCATAAATTTAATTTAAGTCTTGCAGCTAAAATACACATGCAAATCAAGATGAATGTACCCCACAGTACAGAGCTTAGACTTTGAATTTAACTTTTAAAAACTATCATCAACTTTGGTGACAATATGCATAAGAATTCCAAGATTCCATTGTGCATAGATCACAAATGCTTGCATTAACTAACTGAAAAATAATAAATAATTACAAGTTTTTCATTGCCTGACTAGTTTAAGTCCACTGAAATAGGGGTAAATTAAATGCACTTATCCCTTCAGAATTTTTTCTCCAATACTAACAAATTTTATAAAACCTTCTTCCCAAATTAGCAACCTAAGCCTTTTTAAAGAAATAATGTCATTAATACTCTTACCTGAACCTTCCGATTCTTCTTAGATGTGAAAACATTTCACCACCAGGAACATACTCCATTACCATGTATAAATTAGAATTGTCCTAAGGGAGCAGGTAAACACACACAAATACGTATTAGGCATGCTATAGTCTCCATAATTCCTACATACAATATATTTTATTAAAGAATGAAAATAAAAAATTCTAGCCATCCAATGACCTTAACAAATACAAAGCAACACAGGCAGAAATTCTCAAGAAAGTGCAGACAAACGTGACAAAAGGAGTATCAGATATCTCAAGAAACCTACTTTAAAGTAAGATTTGAATAAAGATAATTAGTGAGTTCCTGATGCAGAATGGTAAGTGACCTGAAGGAAGAGAAGATAAGATGCCTACTGCAAGACAAGACCTATACTCTTAAAAGTTCAAAACTGACAGCCTGAGGTATTCTTGTCTCCCACAGCTCCAGTCTCAAACCTCTAAACTGTAAAGATTAAGGTAGAACATATTTGTTCATTTTAAATGGTATTAAAAATTAAGAAAAAAAAAAAGAAGGAAATATGTAGAGGACACATATCAGTCTATAAATTAGGAAAACACTCAACTTCTTTGCAGATTGACTATCACATACTGTCATGAAATTAGAAGCTAACCTCAAAGTTCTTTCCTTCATGGTTAAGACTGTCAGTAAAACCTGCCTCAGGTATGAATCTCCAGAAAAAAATCTGCAGAACAATTACAAATTTACTATTCCATATATTGGTACAGAAATACCTCCTTTGTTTACTCTCAAAGACAGAATAATGCCTAAAAGCTCCCTGCTGTACAAAAGCCAGTTTCCCTCCAAAACAAGGAAAATCTTTAAGAGTTAAATTAAGAGTTTAATTTGTTCTAATTTTTCTGGTTTTATTTATTTATTTGGAGATATCCTTTCAACCATCAGCTGGTGATCTGGGGTGCATGTGAGTGTGCACACAACTGTAGGAACCTCCGCCCAAGCCCAGGCAACAGTTCCAAGCAAGGCATCTTTGAAAACAAAAATACTTAAACTATAAAAGTACTGTAAAAGTTAAATGTTTTACTATCTAAAGATTGAGCATGCACTTCCTTGAAACCCAAACAACTACTTTCAAAATAATGATTACCTTAAAAGAATACTCCAGTTTTACAAGGAAAGGAAAATTCACCGCTTGTAATATTCTCTTCTCATTCAGTGTGTGCTCTATTTGCTTCAGTTTGACAACCTAGGAGAGAAAAAACAATCTTCAGTTTAAGTACGATATTTTATAGCTGTTGATAAATTTTTCAGCCTAAAACAATTAGTTGAAAGCAAGCTTGTAACTTTACAAATAATGAACCTTATGGATTACCAGTACCAGTACAGTGCCTAGAAAGGATTTACAATGTCAACAGACCTTTTAAGAGTAATACTCATGCAATATGGTTTCCACATAACTTTAGTAATAGTGTTTCTTACTACATGCTGAGTATAGGAACCTGTAAGGAAAACACCTTTACATTTTCTTATGAATTGATTGCATTTGTAATGGAGATACTTCTGCAGCAAGATAACAGTTCAATAAAACCCATTTGATCTTTTAACCCTTTGCTAAAAAAGGCAGGAAATTGTGTCAGACATGTTTAATTATGAATTTTGTTATGTGTGAACAGGAATAAACTGACTTATTTTATATAGCTCACACATCAGTGAGAAGACTAAGGAGAATACAAATCAAAAATTTCCATTTTTCTACCAGACCTTTGAATGGGTTTTGCTTTTCTGCTTATCAAACCACTTAGCAAAAGTATTAAAAAAATTAAATGCTACCTCCTTGCAATCCATGATAACGTTAAGCTGCTAACACAGCAGCAAGTGGCAGATCTCCGATCATTGCTATTTCTCAGTAATTAACAATTGGTTTCCTTGTGTTAAACCCCAACATTGCATAATCGATTCTTTCCATTTTACTTAATTCCTATTGCACAATTTATCTGTATCTCATTTTGAGAATTGTGTGATTTCCAAGTAAAGTTACTTTCCCTCCCCCCGAAACAAGGATAAAATGTAGTGATAAAAGATAAAAGAGTGATCAAAACAAGTCTGGTTTTACATGTTCAGAAATCAGATTTAGCCGCTATAAATAACAGATGAACAAGGTATTCCAACCCTGACTGAAACAGTGTTTAAATTTAACTTTTAGATGCAAAAGGTAATACTTATAAAAAACCACTACTGTTTTGAAATAAATGTCATACAAAACAAATAGTGAGTTAAAAATATTAAATCTCTTTTGAAACACAGATCTTTGGGGACCAAACCAGCTCAAATCAGCTGATTTGTGGGAAGTGTCCCCTTCATCCAGAAAAAGCTATGGTACTGGAATTACCTTGGCCATCAAAGCACACAAGCTAAGGTTTTAGTTTAATATTGTGAAGCGTTCAGATGCAATGATACATGAGATTTTACCACCTTTCCTGCATCTTCTGCTGATTAGATACTGGAGGGTGATGGCAGCAATACCACAGGCTGAAGCTGCTGTTTAACACTTCATAATATTAAACTGGAGCCTCAGATAACATGGCTTTGCTCACATTTAAGCTCTGGCTCAGGGCATGTCCAATGACAGCTTCCTGTAGGTCAAATGATATCTGGTAATGGCAGATTCTCCAACAGCTTGTTTGTGTCTGAAATTCTGTTAGCAATATTTTCTTTCCAAAAACAATTATGTAATGAAACTAGCCAAGCAAGGGTATGTTGCTGCCTTCCTAAATCAAGGCAGACAAATAAAGGAGTAACTACCCTACACACAAACTGACTGGCTACATCAACATCTACTACATTAATTTTTTTTTCATATCCTGATGAACTAAGCATGAGATTGGACAACAAAGGGACACACAATATACTTTCTCTTGTTTCAAGTAAAATGTAAATGAAAAATTATAGGCAGCCTGCACATTGTCTATTGTCTAATTTCAGACATCTGTAGGTTTTCTGTAATATACAAAGTGATAGAAATGTGTTCTCCCTAAGCCAGCTCCTATTTTTTTGATCAATTAGTGGAAGTTACTAATTTAACACTAATATATTTCTAATCGAATACATAAATATGTAATTATATATGGTAACTAAGGTGAGTTGAAAAAGGGTGTATTTCACAAAGGAACACTTCAAGACTTCTGATTATAGACAAAACCATCTAATTTACCAATAGAAGACTGATGTCTGGATGCAAACATCTTTAATCCTAGGAATCTTTTACTGCAAGTAAAAGATAACATTTTATTTTACTGATAACATTTTATTAATGCCTTGGACACTACTTAGAGCCTCTTCAGCCTGTCATTAATTTTACTGGCTGTTGTACAACAACAACAACTGAATCTGCTGGCTAAAAAAGAAAATCAAACATTTAAAGCATCACCAGTATCCAAGTGTGATAAGCAAAAGCACAGTAAGTGCAATATAGTTTACCCACAGTTACCAGATCTTTGTCTACATCAAACTCTTCTGTACCACAAAAAACACTATAAATTACACCAACCTTCTGTTTGTCCAGTATCTTCATAGCATAATACTGTTCTGTGGATTTATGTTTCACCATCATAACTCTCCCAAATGATCCTGTTCCGAGGGTTTTTTGCCTCTCAAAATCATCTAGGCCAGCAGTATTCTACATGTACAAGGATATAATGACATTATTTACAATCTAATAACCAAAGACAATTTTAACTGTACAAATGGATTTATAGAAGAAAATTAAGTAAAATTACATTTATCAAAGACAACTATAGGCAAGTATACTGTTATAATTTCATGCCTGTCATATTTTAATAAGAGATTTTACATTGCACCCATTAAAACAGAAAAAATTAACTGAACTGTATCAACATTTTTGTATTTTGTCCATACAGATGACACATGCTTAGTAAGAAACACGTAGCAGTAAACAGATCATGAATTTAACATGCAGATAAACCACCTCATGCTTCACAAACAAGTATATTAGAACATGCAAAAAACCCCAAGCTCCAGAGACAGTTCTATATGAGAGTTGCCTGGAGAGCATATCACTGAGTAAATTTTCTCAAATTTTCATTACAATAGCATTTCAAATGCTGCTTTAAAAACAAGAATGACCCTGCCCCCAAAACCCAAACCTTCAAGTTCAACTTTTAAAAGATTTCTCCCTAACCTGCTCCTTAACCTGCCCCAAGCTCTATGTAGGAGACTTAATACCCTAATTCCTCTTAATATCATTGGGGGAATTATTAACAGGGTAAATTACAGATGTGCCAATGCTTACTGTTATAAAAAGCCAGCTAAAATATGCCAATAGATTTTCAGTCTTGTCATGTTGATGGTAAACATCATTCTCCGTAAGAGAAAGCTGTTGTTAAGTATGAGCATTTCATCAACTCATATCTGGAGAAGACCCAAGAGTCTTTGCTGATGAACTTCAATGACAAAACTGACATTAAAAATAGAAACTCCTTTAAAAATTGTATTAAACTTATTTCTGTTTTCTGCACTGCTCATCATAGACTGATAACACACTGATAACATTATCAAACAAATGCAATACAGAAAATTATTGAATGCTTAAATGACTGATACCTGAGGGGGGCTTTCCCATTTTCTTAAAAAGTCTTCTTTGGCTTTGGCTAGGAACTCTTTCACTGAAAACACACACAAAAAAGTACATTTTAATTAATGTAATTCATGATGGATGTGATGGAGATGCTTTGTTAATAAAATACGTAAACTTCATTATCAACTTCTTTCTTCCAATTGTAATATGCTATTTTCACCATGTATGAAAGCAAGCACCAATGCCTCTAGAACTTGTACAATATCTCCAAGTGATCCCTAAGCTTTCTGCAGTAACTACATCATTCTACACAAATTACTTGAACTATACCAGCTCTAATAACTCACAGTACTGTATATGCAAAGCAGGCTTTAAGGTGATGTAAGACATACTTAATTCGACTGGGGAAAAAACCACAAATATCTGACATTTATAAATACACATTCTACAAAGTTAGATTTTTAATCTATTTTTGTTAAATAAAAGCTATGCTTTCTTTCAGTTGATTGACTGTAATGTTAATCTCGTTGCTTTTTCCCCTCATCACCTTTATTTAAAGGGCGTTTGCAAGCTCAAGTACTAAATGGACAGCATTACTGCAAGCAAAGACAAAGCACAGGGCTACGACACTGCACATTAGGCCTGCCCACAGGCACAGAATGTATATTTTTAATATTGATTTTCCATTGAAATTGAAGGAATGTATAATAGCAGAATTCTGGACGACTGTTTAAAATGTGCACCAACGTATTTTGTTCATATCATCTTTCATTTGTTCTATTTTTTTTAATATCAATTATCAACCAGATCAATGCAGATTACTTAATGCACAGCCATAACTGGGAGGCGTTTCAGACATTACTGTGGTTCTGAAAGAGTAACAGAATCAAAAAGAAAATATCATACTGTTTTGTGTTCTCTGAATCATTTCACATATTAATAACAGTGGATTTCTGTACTGTGATATTCTGCCACAAGCAATTTCTAAAAATACTCAGCAATGTGCCGAGATTATTCTGGTCAATATTTTGAAATATATGTTTTAGCAACTGTATTCTACCTTCTGACGGTCATCAAAAATTAGGTTTATAAGGGGTTGTAATCAATCACCTGATGAATTGGAACTTTTTTATACTTTTCCTTTCAGAGATTACTAGTGTCTACACAGAGAACTTTTCAAAAATTCTCTTCTATTACCAATACAGTTACAACAGCAGTAAAAACAATGGCAGCCCTGCAGAAGCGTGGTTGTGATTTTTTTTGTTTTCCTTTTTTTCCCCCTTCCAAGTGTGCTATGGGACACAACTATCATGAAATACTCAATGGAGGTTTATGGCTCCCACCATCACTAGCTCTGATGGAGCAGAAAATATTATGGAAATTTCAGGAAAATTGTCAAAAGTTCTGGTTAACCTCAAGGTTAGAAAAGTGTTTAAAGCATGATATTCACTGAGTAATTTTATTTTAATGGAAACAAGCAATATCAGAGAGGAGGAACATATTTACCACCCTAAACTTAAGGTTGAGTAAGAAAAACATAGTTTATATCAAAGGATCTATTTTAAACTGGTATTAAAACTCAGTGAGAGTTAAAAATATTTTAGTGGGTAATCAGTAAAAATGTTTGACATATATATCCTGTGTGGGGAAAATATTTCCACTGTTTTTAAATTATGGGGGTTACTCATGTAATGACTTTTAATGATCCTAATTTGAGAAAAGGACAGGATTTCCTGTGGCATGAAATAATGTCTCAACACAAAAAAGGGAAGCTAACAATGTCCAAATTCATGCCTGATGATTCTTCTTTCCTTAGGAGATCAAAGATGACTTGATAAAGTTTTTAAAACATCAATTTATGTCAAAGTAGCATGAACATCATTTTGTCTTAATGACAAGAAAAAAAACTAAGATGATCATTAAGATTACCAAAAACCCGAGCCTTCAAACTTAAGTGACTGTAGCTTAGAAATTAACATTAACACTACATAGCACAACCAAAACATTAGTCTTTTTTTTTGTTTGTTATTACAGTACATATTTCTTAAATATTCCTCATGCTATCTCATTGTTCATATAAATAAGTATTTTAAGTTTCCACATATTTTGCACTGATATATCATTATTCTGTATTTATAAAAATATACAGTGACATTTAAATGTAGTCATCTTTGTTCCACTTACAGAATAAAGAATCCTGTTTATGAAAAAAATGTGATCCAGCTGGAAATATTCAGATTGTGGAAGCATGTGAAAAATCTCTCATTTCTAGAGTATCACGCTCCTCTTCAACAAAACTTCTACCTTATTCTACTTTACTTTCGCTCTCTTTTCTTGGAAAGCAGCATTGGACACGTATTTTCAAAATAAAGCTACCTAATGGTGCTCACTTATCTTAAAATAGCTATTTCATATTCTGTGGTGTGTTTTATTAGAATTACATTTTCTCCCTAATGAGAAAGTGGGTCAAATTATGCCTGGTTCTCATTTTCAGAGGTCACCTGGGTTCCCACCACAACATAATTCAGCAGGTGATTTCAAACAGAATTTAGGCAACTTAAGCACATACACTTCAGGCACTTCTTAAAATAGGACTTAGAATTTGAAACAGGATAGGTACTTTTGGAAATTACATATCAATCAGAAAACATTAGCTCTTGCTACAGGAAAGCAGATTTCATTTCTACTTTTCAAGCACAGAATAAAAATTTACACCAACTGGACAGTAGTGACCATTGGTATTATCGTGATGATGCAAACAAGTAGATTTATTAGAAGTTTTCCTCAAGTGCACATTTTTAGCCACCTTACATTGTGATGACGTGACTCTTAATTGCTTTTCTAGTCTTTAAACTGTTCCTAGCATCTGTGACTTTGGGCACTAATGAAGGAATGAGCATACCAAAAGTCTCTATAGGTTCCCCAAGGGTTTGCAGGAACATTCACCCACACAGATGAGATGATGAAGACAGGAAAGAAAGAGAAGGAAAAAAAACATTTTATGCATTTCCACAACGAACACACAAAAAACACAAATACATTCCACCCTTTCCCCTCCCCGCTCAAGAATGGACCCTGTAATAAACCAGCCCGTTCCCACACAGACAGAATGACTCATGCTAAAATCACAGAATGTTTGAGCAAAGAAAAAATTAAAAAAAAAAAAAAAAAAACAAAAACAACAAAAGGCAGCTAAATTCAGTACGAAAAAAAGATGATGCATCACAGAAATAAGCACAGCTTACAAAACTTCAGGAGATCAAGTTGGCATCTCTAATAATTAATCTATTCCAAGACATACACATCCAAGGAACTGTTGCTAACAAAAGTGTATCTATCTTCATCGCAGCATGCTGGATCACAACAAAACCTGTAATCGGGTGATCTTCCCACTACTTAGCACTTTGTTCCAAGACAGAATGTGTGAATTGCATGGCATGTGGTGGATAGCACAGAAATGGCAAGCAGTCTCCCAAAAATTTCACAATCAAATTTCAGTCCCGTTACCCAACAACAGCCACAAAAGCCCTTGAAAAGTCTGAACTGCACAGAGGAAGTTGCTGTATACAAACTGGAATGCATATGGGAATCCTGTACGGTCACCATACAAGTATGATTTAATTTTGTAAGACTGTCAAAAAAAATGAACCCAGGAAAGAGATGCTGACATAAAGGTTCCCATAAACACTGAAGAGCAAGGTTAACTCATATATGGTTGAGCAAAGTGAAGATGAGGATGCAAGGTGTGTATGCAAAGACCAGCAAACAGACCCTATTCAGATTGGAATCACTGGTATAGCAGAAGTTGGAGCGAAGGAGGCTGAAACGAAAGGAGGAAAAGCTGTTGCTCAAGAAAAGGAAGGTGCTGGAAGGAGAGAGAGAAAAGCCTGAGTAACATCACTGGCATAACGAGGGCCACGGCAGTGGTCAAAACAATTGGCTGCATCAGGAAGGACACCAGCTGGAACTGGAGAGGATGCACCAGTGGCCCAGATATTAGGGAAGTACAAACACACAGTGCCAGCCTAGCTCTTCGCGACCAGCAAAAGCAACTGTTGGCAGGAGACACAAGTTTTATGCAATGCAGAGACCCAAAAGCACACAGTAGGAAATCTGGGAAGATTCAGGACAAGGTAGTAGGGAATGGGGTAATGGCCAAGGAGTCACAACTGAAAGACTTCAAGCAGTTTTATAACTTCTGCTTGCTTCTGTTCAAATCCTGGTCAGAAGAAATGCTACAGGTGCACAGGTGGCTGGAGGGGATCTAAGCTGTAGGGCTGTGTATCATAGGTGGTGTGAGACTGGGCCTGCGCAGAGCTGTGCAACTTGGTGATAAGCTGAGAAGTCTGCTGGAAGAGATTTCTAAGGGATGTGGAACTCAAGATCCAGAGGTTCCTAGGCAATACTGACACACAAGGAGGCACTAAAAAAAACCCAAACAAACAAACCCCCAAACTAAACAAATGAAAAAACTACCACACACAAAACCTGAAAACCCCTGAACCCATCCCCAAACAGCAGGAGACTGTTATCAGTATATTCACACAATGCACAATATTTTTGTTTATTGATTAACTTTTGCATGAAAAGTTAGCAGGCTTATAAAAAAAAATTGTTAACAAAGGGTATGAATACTACAAAGTGTACTCTGGCCTAAAACATGGCTTAAGAGCGAGTGAATCAGAGGAAAGCTCCTGAAAAAAATTGTTAGGACCTCTCAGTTGCAGAGGTGCAATGACAGCAGAGGGAAAGGGGTCACAAATGGAGCAGTCCTGAAGAGTTACCATGAATTACTTTGCCTTTCTCCTACCTCCCACGTGCACTGTATTTGTTATTCTCAAGCACATCTCCCACAAAAGCCAGCAAGCCAGATTTTTTTTTTTTTTTTTTTTTTTTTGGGGTGGGGAGGGGTGGGAAACAAAACGTATTTGGATAGAATTCATGGCAAGAAGCAAGAACTAAACTGATTAAGACTAAACATCGGGCACCGCTACAAACCCCCATCTGCTGTGCTAAATGCCAATCTCTGCTTGGTATTTAAAATGCCCTTTATCAAAATACAATTCAATTTTTGTTCCAAAACTGTAATATAATCACTTGAAGTCTGGAGTTAAATGGGGTATTTAATCAAATATCCAAATTTGATCTAATGGAAAAATAAATATGTATGAAGAGATTCTGATAAATATATATATATTTAATTTTTACAGAAACAGTATTTATAGCCTTCAACATTATCAAGATGTATATAGGTGTCTCAGTGAATCCTGTGGTTACAGTACCACATTTCAGAAGCAAGAAGTGTACAATTCAAGTTCTAAGTCCCATTCTTACACCATTAACCTGTCATCTTAAATTTCTCTTCTGATTATCAGGAATAATATCACATGGCTTACAAGAAGATTTATCTACCCTGGCAAGTGCTTGAAAATGAACACAACTAAGTGTTAAATATTATTATACACTCAGATGAAATAGTGTGAGCACCAGTTAACATTTTAATAGTTGGGAAACACTTTAAAACACAAACTAAAATGGTATATCGAAACAGACCATCAGCAAGAACAAAATGCTGTTTCTCACAATATGAAAATGGTGGGGAAAAAAAAGTCCAATGTGATACAAGCCTGGTACAGGGCAAGTCAATCTTGTCTTAACACTGCTGTGAGACACACTTACTGGCTCCCTTGTGAAAAACTGACCAGCTACAATTTTGTCTTGCTTCTGCTCTAAAAGTTGCAAACTCACTAAAGCTAGATTAGTAAACTCTACATCAATTTAGTAATGAATTTATCAAGTTTTTTATTTTGAGAGCAAGATCTTGATCTTGTATTTCTGTTTAAATAGTAATTCTGATAAAACCAGGTAGAACAGAGCAAAGCAACTTAGAAGCTGAAATGGATAAGAACCTTCCTTCAGTTAAAACAAACAAAATCCATGAAAAAATGAAAACCAAAACATATGGAGCAGTTCTGAAAGAGCCCATTTGCTGGAATATGAATCTTAAAAGTTCTTAGTAAGTGAATGATCAAGTAAAAATTATTAACTGCACACAGGTTTGTTATTAAAATGAAAATGCTAATAATATAACTGCACACAGTAAGCACTTCTATGGAATAATGGAAAGGATTGGTAACAATTGGAGAAGGGCATAGAAAAACCATGGGGAAAAAGGGAGAAGAACAAGATAAATGGTAAATTAAGACCAATTACAGCTGCAGTGCCTAAAGACTAGAAAAGAGTAGTAGAATCTGATTTTGGGGGGGTGTACATTCAGGAATTAATTTACAACGTACAGCAATTGCAAAATACAAGTTGTTCTTATCCATCACAACTCAAAATTTGGAACTCAGGCAAAATCTTATTTTAATCCTGTCCGCAACTTTGAAGTCTTGAGCTAGACAGTATTTTGCCAGTTTTATAAAAGCAAATTTGCAACAGTTAAGAGCTCTGTAAAGAGCCCAGCTTTTATTTTTTTTTTTTTTTTTTTTTTTTTTATTTTAGTTTTCAGTGCTACAGGCTATAATTTCAAACTGTAATTTAAAGCTCAAGTATTACTTAATGTTCACCTCTTTACTTGGCTGGCTAGACAGCAACAGCCCGCACAAGAGATGTGACAGATTTAGACAAACCAAAACAGAAGTCAGGTTTTCAGCTATCAGAGATAATACCTATCTTTGTTGAATTCTGAGCAGTAGATACTCTACTACACACAACTGCCACAGTCAGACTGACTTCCTTCTTCTATTTTTATTAGAGATAATAAAATCAATTCTATTTCCAAATACAATTTTCAGTCTTGCCCTCTTATTCTTTTTCTTATGCCGTAAAGTACTGGTTCAAACAGAGGTGGTGAACACTGCTAATGCCAAAAGTGCAACACAACAGACACCACTCTGGGGAGACAGGGCCAAACCCAACCAATAGTCACTTAAAATGTGAATCCCTGAAATATTGTTTACAAACCTCCAAATGTATAATGTAAATCAGCACATTTATTCAGTCACGAATACGATCAAGTCTTGCATTACCTCTGCTCAGCAGAGTTGTACATGCGTGTATGTCCCAATTCAATAATTTTTCACCCCCAAAAACTGCTTTCATAATCTGAAAGAATCCAGACCCAATGCTCATCAAAATTACAAATGAATATACTTCATTAAAAAAGTGACTCCTCCCTCAAGACACATACAAATAAATGCCAAAAAACCCCAAACAATCAAAACCTATGAACCAAGCTGGGATTTATTATTCAAATTGTAAACTACTGATTATATGCAAGGCTTCCTCAATGAAGACAAGCAAAATAGCTTCATTTGAACATCCAAGCATGGGCCATGACCTGAAGTCTCCTGCAGGTTCTTGGTGGGCAAGAGCTGTTTCATCCCTTCAGGTATTTTGGTCTTTGTCCTGGGTTGAGTGAGTGGTGGGGTTTTTTTGGTGGCAGGGGAGGGGGCTATAGGGGCGTCCCCCTGTGAGAAGCTTTTCGAAGCTCCCCCAGCTCCAAGTCAGCTCCACCTCTGTTTGGAAACTGAGCCAATCAGCTGCGCCTCTGCGATAACGTATTTAAGAAGGGACGTGGTGACGGGCAGTGGGACTTGTGAGGAGGAGTTCTGCAGCTGCATGAACACCAAGGTCAGTGAAGGAACGGAGGAAGAAAGGAGGGGCGAGGTGTGCCGCAGCAGAGACCCCCCTGTATCCTGTGGTGAGACGGCAGGGCAGCCACCCCCTGCCACCCATGAAGATCTATGGTGGAGCAGACATTGATTTATGGCCTGTGGCTTCCGCCAGAATGATCAAGGTGCTGTGCCCGAAGAAGGCCGGGGTCTTGTGGGAAAAGGTGGCCCCCGCTGTTGTAATTCAGCGCTGGGAGGATTGCAGCATGCGGGAGGGTCCCACGCCAGAGCAGCT